TCGTTTGTCCCATGAGGTGTTTTGGTTTCAGCACGACCTGCCGTTCCGATGATGGCAAAGATGTTTAATATATGGGGTGTAAAATCCTGCGGTTGATGGCATTTCAAACGAGCGTAGGTGGATGGGGGTGGAGATGAGGAAAAGGGTCTACAGAACGCGAGCTGAAACTCGGATTTCATCCGATTGTGAGGCTGAGGATGGGAACAAGATAAGATTGCATGCCGTTAGTTGCGAACGCGACGGCAAGAGAAAAGGTGAAGGTTCTGGTGCTTGCAGAAAGAGGAAGGGAAGGACGGAGGGAGGGTGGAGGGAGCGTGGGGAGGGAAGGGGATGAGTGAGGGCAGATGAAGGCAAGTGTGAAATCAGAGCCAGCATGCTAACGACAACTCTTTCTATGTTGATAATGATTCAATGATGATGGTCATGGTGACGCTAAGCATGGGCGATAGTGACAGTGTTGAGGTCGTTCATAGCGTTTTCTTTTCTGCGAGAGCGCTAGCATGCTGGTGCTCCACGGATGTTGAGAATCGGCACCCTTTGCACGGGTTCGGTGGAGCTAAGCCATGGTGCATGCCAAAGTTCCAGCAATGCGGCAGGAAGTGATCGATCGATGTGGTGCCTTCCTCAATGCCTGAGGGGCATGCTGCACGCTTGTCAAGCCTAGATGACACGCTGCCAACACTGATGCTTGCAGCTCTGGGAGTTATGGTCTGGCAGCGGAATGCTTGTTCCTGCAACCCATTAGGACCAGGTATCTGAGAGTGTGCAGGTATAAGTCATGTCATGCGGTGTGGGCCAAGGTGGCGATTCGAAGGCAAGGCTGGTGTCAATTTTGCGTTGTCGCTCATGCTATGCAGCACCACAACATGCCGGCACGACTGCGAAAGATTGTAGGTTGTCGTAGGTGCAAGAGCCGTTTGCTTCATTCCATGAGTTAACAGTTTTCTGGCCAGGTGGGTGCTCTGGCAACACAGGCCAAAACTTTGATTCGCGAGTTATTGCGCGACGGCCCAAAGCCAGCAGAATGCAAGCTGCAAGAGGCAGAGTTGGCGGCTGTCGAAATGCGGATCGGCCGGCAGCTTGCAAATGAAGTTATCGAGATCAACATGGAGTTAGAGGCCAGCTCTGCACCCATTGCATCGCAAGCAGTTCAAGTAAGTTCGTTCACAGCAGGAGTTGCGGCATGTCGTCGCAGACAAGGCTACAGTGGAAGGCCTGTCGGTACACAGACGGTGGTTGACGATCTTTCATTACGATGTCCCATCCGTTGTAATCGATATCTGGCAGAGGTTTGGAGGAATGTTGCACAGGGGCACTGTCGCTAAGCGGATGTGATGTAAGTGCTGCGCCTAGCACCCGCGCAGGCTTGAAGACAGAGCATTCCTCTCGCTTGTATGACTTGGACAACTCTGTGGCGGAACTGAGCAAAGGCCTTTAGTCGAGCGGCCCTTGCGTGCCACCAGTACAGTAACGCGCATGTTTGATGCAAAGACGTTCCTCCATGCAGGTCTCAGGGAGATTTCGTCGGAGTTGCAGGCTGAAGAGGGTCGGTGTCCGGTATAGCCGCGCTGCACCAGGGAGCCTTGCGATGGGCTGGAGTGCAACGGTTGGGATGGACGGGATTCACGCCTTTGTGCAGCTGGGATGATTTTGCATGACTAGTGCTGCTTCCTCACAGGCTTCTGTCGAGCAGTCGCGACAGACGTTCGCCACCCAAGCGGACCACCGTCAATCATGCCACTTGCACTGAAGCTTCTCTTCGCAGACGCAGAATCAATCGCAGCCCTTTTGCCTTTGCTCTGTTTTTGAGCTAGGTGACTGCAAGACATGACATCAATGCCAATGTTTGATGGCAACCAGCCAGCTGAAACGGGTTGATGCTGATGCATCACAGCTGCTGGGTGCTTGTAGCCTTGGTTGACTCCTGGCGTAGAGCCCCGCGTGACCAGGGCCGGGATCGTGAAAAAAACCGATCATTGAACATAGTGCCTCCGAGGTGAGCAGCACACACGAGCTGCTGCTGAGCTGGCGCAGCGCGCCGGCGAGGCGGCCACGTCCCTGCAGGCCGTATGAGACGGGAACCTTGCGTGTAACTCTCAGAGCCTGTCACGATCTCTTCCCTGCAAGTGCTGCGGGAACTAGATGGACAGAGCAATTCCAAGCCATTTTTTCATGGATCACCTTGCATCTGCCACGGCCCTTCCGTTCGAGGCCCTGGAGGAGGCTCGGGTGCTGGTGGCGGAGTCCGTCGCAGCGTGCGAGGGGCGTGTGGGCCAGCTGGAGTGCAACGGCCAGGCTAGGCCACCTGGTCAGGTTTTGTATTCGGACGAAAACGTTTTCGTCGCTTGATTCGAGTGGTGTTTGTCCAGCAGTTTTGGGAAGGTTCACGAGCAGTGCATCGACGGCCTACAAACCGACTTGGCCGGCCACGAGAAGCGGTGCTGGGAGGCTTTTGCCTCCAAGACCTCGGTGCAGCAGGCGAGGTCACGAAATCTGCATGTTTTTGGACTCGCTTCGAGCGTGAGCCGTGTGTCCCAGTCTCCAGGCCTTGTCAGTGGCGTCCGAAGCCCATACGAAGCTGGATTTTGCCATGATGGATCGTGCCATGTCTGAGGTTTAGGGAATCAAGGTATCGCACTTACAGTCCCACACGATGGCCGGATTCCTGAGGTGCCACCCTTCGCCGGACGATGACGGAGGAATGCCCTTTGCTGAGACTCCGGGTCCGCAAGTACCGAAGGGTTAGCAGTGCGAAGATGAGAGAAGACGAGTCCATGCCGCAGAATGGAGCCGCAGCATGTTTTCCATGCTGCCAGCTACGGCCCAATCATTGAAAGCTCGTTATCCGAGTTATATCCATTGCTTTCCGGTCACTTTCATGTGAACGACAGGAGTTTGACATGCTGAAGAAGACAATCTTTCGCCAACAGAAAGCCTTCCGGGATATGGATGAAGCAGTGGACTGCCACTCGACTCAAGCTACGATGCTCGTGCTGGGTACGACGTGCAGTTGCTGACATTTCCGAGGTGTGAACGAACATAAACAGCTGATCAAACGCTTTCGGGAAGAGCTACGCCGGCAGGATAAGCAACTTGAGGCAGGTTGAGAGTTACTTGCACGTGTCTTGCATCTGGGGAATGTGCACCATTCACACCTGGCAGGATTTTGCAAAACGTTTGGATTTGCAAGACCGAAATTTCCATCAATTGGCTGCAGAGCATCAGCGTGACGTTGATCATTTGGAGGACAGTGCTCGATGTGGGCGGGGTTCGGTCTTATGGCCTTTGGCTGGGGTCTTTCCATTGGTTTTGGTTTGGAGGGCATGGGCAAGAGAATTTCGGATGTCAGCATCGGATAGCAAGCGAAGGAATAACAGAGTTTTCAAGTTGTTCAGATGTCTGATTGCTCCAAACTGGAAGGACGTTTGCGGCAGCCTGCAGCGAAGCTTCAATGCCTTGGCCCTGGCGCCGATAGGAAGTTTGCGGATACATGTCTTGTTCAGACAAGCTTACCTGTGTTCGGCCAAGAGCAAGCTTGATATGAAGTCGACAGGTGTCGCGCCATGAGTCTGGAGATGATAGGTAGCCTAAGCTGTGAGCATGAAGTTGCAGCAAAAGGTGCGTGCCCTGAGCACCTGCTCGCCAAGGACCAGGTGTCACAATGCCAGGCGACTGCCGAGTCAATGAGCCAATCCAGCACCAGGCGAGACGCCACCCGATGTTCCTTTGAAAGGCATAGTGAAAGCGAAAACCACGGCGTTGTTGCAGGATTTCTTTGGATCAAATGGACAAGAGCTTGGCTCTGAGGCGATTGCCTTGAAGCGCAGTTCTAGTATTGCTGCATTGCCGTCTGCCTGCAACATCCTGCGACAGCGCAGGCAGTCTCTGGACAAGTTGCATGAAGAACACGAGCATCTTCGAAATGCTGTGCTTGGTGACGTGGCCAGCTCCCGAGCCGGTATGAGAACGAAGCGGCGACATGCCTTAGAAGCCGTCAAGACGCAAAGGTGGGCTAGCAACGGTAAGCTTATGAAAGTGCAGTGTTGCTGTTAGAGACCCCGTCTTGCAGGGAGAAGCAAACTGGTCGGTGACGGTGTTTATCACTGTTATCAGAGTCGGGTAGGTTCGGGGTGAGAGCCCAGGCAGCATGAAAAAAAGAAGGATCGAGCCATGGCGGCGAGTTACTTTGTTGCTAGCGCTTTCTGGCATCTCCTGGACGTGTTGCAGTTCACAGATGTGGAAGGCACTGGTCCGAGAGATTTGGGAGATCAGCTAGCAGTGAGTCGGACATCAGACGCTCACCATCGCTCACCAACGAAAAGCAAAGGTGAAACGCAACAGAGTTTCCCAAACAGCGGGTAACCCTGGAACCACCCACCCTTCAATATCCTGTCTTGAATGCGTCCTCTTAGGCCATAGGGATTTCTGAAGAAGCAGCTTCTTTGCCTTGAGATGTGGTGTGTCCTGTATTCTCCTATGCTGAGGCTCCGGAGCCACAGGCTGGTGTGCCGCCGGCGGAGTGAATCTTCCGAGAGGAGTTTGGAGAAGGATCGCCGATGTACCGACGTGTCCAAGGGCAAAGGATTCCGTTGGACTCATGACCTTGCTTCCGAAGCGAAGCTTCCTGATTTGACAGCCCTGTGGCCGTATAGATGCATGATGCTCAATACGAGCACTTGCCCTTAGCACCGCGAGCTCCACTTCAGTGCACGAAACAAGCTGCAGAGCTCTCCGGTTCTTGCCAGACCGTGAGTGCTTGGTGGGAACTGATCCTGACCCTTGCGCCGTCAGATCTTACATTCGAAGCACCACAGCCTGAAGCCTTCACCAAAACCTGCCGCAGACATCGGACAGTCACAAGCACAGCGATCGCTTCAGCCGGCAAGCACACTGAGCAGCGGTTGAGGACTTGTAGCCCCGGCAGTGCAAGATACTGCAAGCCAGCCATTGTTAGTACGAAGTCTTTGCACAGAAGGATCATGCCGGATGCTTGCGTAGCGATGGATGCTGCGGTAGCCTCGACATGTTTTGTTTTATACACTCCTTCATTGTGCACGCTTGTTTGGGATTTCTATGCAAATGTGACAGGCACACGCGTGCTCAAGCTTTCGCGCCTCCTTTCTCTCTCCTCCGTCAGATCAATCCAAGGTGCTGGAGACCATTGCCTCGCAGCTCACAACAGTGGCTGATGGCCTAGAGGCTTTGAGAGTGCAAGAGGCGCCCGCGAACGCCGACCGGTGCTCCACGCAGCCTGCTCACAGGTCGGTGCCGAGCTAGTTAACCACGTGGTGAAGATCAACACGCTCGACCACGAGGTCCGCATGCTCCAGATCCGGACAGCTTTTTCGGAGAAGGACCTGGTGAACGCACAAATCGAGGCGGTCAAGAGAACGTTGGTGGTGAGGAATTTCCCCGAATGGGCCACAGCCGCCGACCGTGAGCTCACAGTGGCGGAGGCATTGAAGGAAAACAACCTCGGCTAGCTGGAGTGGGACCTCACAACCACCACCATGAAAGGCACCGAGCAAGAAGTTCCTAGCGCCAATCTCCATCCTCACAGTAGACCTACGAGGTCATGGAGGCATGTTCCGGAGCAGTGGTCCGTTGCTGGCACGAGGTCAAGGACGAGGCCAGAATGACAAGGCCGGAGAGAAGGAACCGGCCTGCTTGAAGCAGCAAAGCTTCGCACGCTGATCCACATCATGCGCAAGCATCGCCTTAGTTGGCTGGCGCTCACAGAGACACACATGCAAAGCACCAGCGAGGAAACCAGAGCGGGCATACGTCAGGGCTGTCCACTCTCACCGTACCTCTTCCTCATAGTTCACGGTACGACCTGGCTTATGCTGACGACACAGCACCCATAGCAAGCACAGCCCAAGGAGCAGAACAGCTGCTCCACATCCTGCAGAGGGTTGCAGCTCACAGCAACCTACACCTCAACCTCAAAAAGTGCGTGCTGCTGCGCCCACCTCACAGAGCACCGTCCACGTCACAAACGGCACCCCACTCACAATCGAACAGCATGCCGCCAGCATGCCAAATACCTGGGTTACCCTTAGCAGCTACGGCGCCTCTCACAAGGACGTCGTCACCAGGTTGGCAGAAGCCCGCAAACACTGCCACTCCTTACACCAATTCTGGCGCAACACCGACCTCACATTGAAGTGGAAGCTCCGCATATGCACTGCGGTTTTCGTTCCACTCGTCACACACGGGCTGGCATCCGAGGCTCTCACCAGAGATGACTACAACAGATTGGAAGCATTCCACGCACAGAGCCAGTGGAAAATACTGACTTCACTTCAAAATAAGCACCTACTACACTGAGGTTCTCAAGCCCACAGCCCGCACATACACCAACCAAGAGGTGAGAGCACCCACACCACAACCACACCCACGAAGCACCGCTGAAGGCTTTCGGGCACATTCTTCGATCCCATCCGGACAGTATAGAACGGAACCTCTGTTTTAGTAGGTCTTTTCAGTACAGAGGTGGTGCGGTAGGTGCAGGTCTAAGGCCAGGCAGGAGGGGAGTCCACTGGAGAGAACATTGCACTAAGCTTGTTTGGCATTGGCTTTTAAAGTCCTCTAGACCCCCTGCCATTCACAGCCCTACGTTCCCATTCTCATATCTACAAGCTCACAGAACAGCTGTAGACCAACACGGAGTCCCCTTGTGAGGTTGCCAACGTGCAAGACACTCCCAGGAGCACACTCCCACAAGGTTTTTCCCGCAGCCTTGAATTTTCCGCGGAGTTGCTGCGGAGCGAGTTGCATAGGGCCGCCCAAAAACATGCAAATGTTGTCGGTCGATCCGTGCCCCGAAACCGTGAAGCCAGGTGGATGTGGCAGTCAAGAGGGTCATGGAGCACGCAGCACCTTGACATCTGTGTTAATTGTGCAAGAGAGGAACATGAGGTATTCACATCGGACTTGCGAGTCCCAGGACTTTGCCAGCAAGTTCAAGCATCCCGTGAAATTTAACGGCTTCGTCCTCAGGTTAGCCGCTATAGCCGCTTGAAGGTTGTGAAATTGTGTGACAGTCTTCCGAAGTGCCAGCAAAGTAAATGCAGGCACGGACTTCATCGAACAGCGGTTGACAACAGAGCAGCAGCTGGCCGAGGTTCCGGGTAGTCCGATCCTGCGCAGCTTCTGCGAGTTTTTGAGAGACTGTGTTGGTGTTGGGGAAGCTCTGATTTGGGGAGACAGCTTGCTTTGGCTGTCCGAAATGTTATTTCATGTGCGCCCGACTTTGGAGTTGGTTGATGTTTTTGTAGCCTTTTCTGTTTCGGTAGTCCACGCCTTGCCGCGCACAAGATTCCGGTCTCGACAAGGATGAAGTGGAATGTATTGATTAGCAAGAAGCTAACTGGCCACGTAGAGAAGGGCAAGCAGGCTCGGCAGAAACTTCCAGGTCACGCGCAGTGCCAGCCAGCAGATGCATGTCTTCCTCGAGCGATATGGCTCGTTGCTCTGTGCAGAGGCACAACGTTGCGGGTTGGCTACGTTCTCTTGTGGAGCACACGACGGAAATCAACGCAACATGCACTTCGCCTCCTGAGGATTTGCGGGCTCTGGCAGGGTGCCCTGCGGCAGAGACTGCAGAGGCAGTGGATCCAATGTCCTGTTGCAGGGCGTTCTTGGAGCCAATGATAGTGCTGATAGGGGTCGCCGTCTCTTCCTGTCAAGATTGATGCATCTGGTGGCTCAACACTCTCTCCATACATGTGCCTGCCAAATTTTTGAGGTAACCTTTGCAGCAGCAGCAGCTATGCGAGCCCGGAGTAAGTACAGTACATGGAGTTTTGCGCTGGCTCTCACGAAATAACAAAGCTAGGTGTTGCTTCCGTGTCCCGCATGCTGAGAGAAGGATAAGGAAGCACCACTAGTGCTACATACTTCTAGAACCATGCCATGACCGGAACGCTGGGAAAGCCCAGTCGTAGGGACATTTTGCCCCTTAACATGGCTGCCATGGGCTGCATTGTGGTATCATGGAGGGACAGCTTCTGGGATTGCAGAGCCTAGCCGAGCCGCGAAACTGAATCTTTTGCTCGTCTGGTCCATTGGTGAGCATTACCGAGGGGTGTGGCGAACCGCTTCGAGGGACGCTGCGACCTGGTCCTGCTGGGCTGGAGCGGCCTCTGTGCAAGACGTGGGAAGCTTTCGGATTGCCGTCCGACTTTAGGGCCAAACGAGTGCTTTCGACTGCAATGATTCTGCATGTGTTTCGGGAGAGCCAGGGTGCAAAACAGGACGGCCTTCATCGTGTTGAACTTGGCCTCCGACTACTTCTGGACTCGGGGAAGTTCAGAGGCACGGGTGAAAGCTGGCAAGAGACCAAGCAGCGCTTGGCTTGCGACTCAGGCCGAGGATGTCCCCGCCGTCGGCTCCCTGGGCATGGGCACTGCAGACATCTACATGGGGCCCGGGCCGAAGAGTTCAGTGAGATCATGGACACATCGCCGTCGCCTGCAATCTCGATGACGGAGCCATAAAATCCTCCTCGCCTGCTGCGGCACTGGTGGTTGTTTGCTATCAGAAGAACTTCTCATTTCGTCTTGTCCCCCTTGGCCCAAGGAGTTACACTCTCGAGCGCGGGCCCTGGCAGAGGTGTAACGGGTCAGCTTCGTGCAGCTTGCCTCCGATGTCAGATGAAATTAGTTCCGTGGCTCTGCCTCACCTAGAGTCATCGCTTGAACAACCGAGCAATCGCAAGTGTAAGTTTGCAATGGCTTCACGGCAGTAGAAGCATCCAAGCATGCAGGCAAATTTTCATTGGTTTACGTCTGTACGAAAGACGGCTTAAATGGCGAGTGCCATGACTGCGACGAAGCGGTTTCGTTTGCGCCGCAAGTCTCCGCCACCTTATGGGCCCTTGGTGCAGTGGTCCCCGATCAAGAAGCACTTCGGTGCAGTGGTGTGCAATCTGCGCGTGGAGGACAAGCGGGCTGCCAGCTGAATCCGAAGCCTGGGTCATGTCCGGCTTCAGCAAAAAAACACAGGACCTCCGCTGTCCCATTCGGCGCAATGCACTCGTGCGGCTCCTGGCAGCACGCGGCGGTCTCCTGGCACTCCGGGGCCTTCGTGGGCTTCAGGCGCAGGAGCCGCGTGTCACGAACATCTCGAGATTCTTCAGGTAATTCTCAGGCGTTGCACAGGTGTTTCCACAGTCAGCGCTTCGCTGGGTTATGCCTGCAGCATCTGAAACCTGACTACCACGCCCACTTGAAGCTCATCGATGCCTCTTTTGGTAGCTCCCGGACACCAAACCAGCTCGAACTCTAAACTTTCATGGAGGGTCCAGACAAGCTTCTTCTCCGTGAGGGGTTCTTGTCAACTTCTTTGAGTCCGGAAGCTCTGGTCAGTAGCAAACTTGATTCAAGGAGGAAGGTTTTAGCTAGGGCCTAGTGCCTGGGGCGTGCGTGCTCTTCCCCCCGCCCCGGTGCTTTTCGTAGTCCGAGGCTCGTGGATTTTACCGGCGCCTTCGGAGCCTGCGAGCAGCAGTTGGCCGCGCAGCGGAGCCGCGCCCTGGTTCCTGGCACCCACAACGGGGCCGTGATGAGGACGGGATCCCGACCGAAGGCACAAGTTTCCAGCTGTTCATGCTTCGCTTGCTTCGCTTGTCGGATTTCGGGGCACTTTTCGTAAGCATCTCAAGGGTTTGGATCTTGCTGCAGGGTTGCATACTTTCTGGGCTGGGGTGTTATCGGGCTCTTTAGGATCCAGGTTAGGAGTAGGCTCTCGAGCTTCAGACCTTTCCATGTGACGTGCAATTTGCAGATGCTGTCTACTCTAGCTGCTCTCGACAGTCTTGCTGATGTCGGTACCTCTCAGAGCTGAGCTGTTTGCAGGGAGTAATGACGAAGGAAGGACTCCGTCACTTGGCCCTCCCAACGCGTTGGAGTGTAGGATCGGCAACAGTCGCGACCCCAATACGGGCGAGCTCAATGCCTCATTCACCGTCAGCGCGCAGCTCCCGAGGAGATCGGAGGGGCATTCGTGTGCATAGAGAGCTCCGCAGGGATCTCGTCATTGCTGTTGGTTTTGGCCCGAAAGATGTTGCAGTTCCGGTTGCCATTCATTCCGATCACCCTTCCCTGCCCGAAGGAGCACGGGTGATGACAGCCTGCAGGCCTGCCAGTTTGACCCTAGCTTACGGAAGCCCATTTGGCACACAGATGGCACGTACCGGCCACGACCGCCCACTGGATCCATGCTGTGCTGTGGTGGCGAAAAGGGTTTCGGGTTTTTGCTGGCACCTTCACTATGCAGCAAGGATAGCAATGCACCCTGCAGGTTTGTCAGTACAGCCCGGCATCACAACAGCCCCGTTGGCATACCGACGCCACGTTTCGATGTCGTCCACCAACGGGATCTCAATTGTATTTCGGATATAATCGGGTGGCCAGACAGAGCGACAGTGCTACGGTCTTCTTTGGTCGGCTGTGCATCTTGTGTACCGGCTGAGGTACAGCATCGAGGTGCCTCCTAGCGGCGGAGACACTTGCTTTGCGGACGCTGCAGCCGCCTTCGAAAGGCTACCGGGCCGGGGAGGGTAGTCTGCGCCATCACGCCATCATCAGCCTGGTGCTGCATGCTAATCATCGCTTTGTGTCTTTGCTGTTCTTTCGTTGATGTCAGCTTCAGCAACCTGCGAGATCTTGGCTGGATGCCTTAGACAGATGCCAGGACTGTAGCTTTAGCCTCATGGAGGAGCAGCTGCGGCTTGCTGCCCAAGGCCGCGAAATGGTGAGAGATGCCGGGGAAGCCACTCAGGAAGATAAGCAGAGACAGCTCGTGGACTTGGGCTTACGGAGCGGCAGCCTGCACGTCCAAGTGCTCTCGAAGCCTGGAGACTCGGCATCCCGAGAGTCAGAAGATGAAGACACAGCAGGAAGATCCCTGACTACGCAGCAGGTAGAGGAGCATGTGACGTCACAGTCTGCAGGCGGAGGCGTCAATGTCGACGATGAGATGGCTCCTGCGGTAGCTGGCGAGGCGACTCCTCGGGTTGCCAGCCAGACGACGCCTATGGGAAGTGCCAAATCCTGTCACTCCCACATCTTGCTGTATGCTTTGGAGACCTTCCCCTGCGAGAAGCGGAAGAACTCTGCGTCGGTGCCTGTTGCAGTCATGCAAATGTGTTGATGCTGCGACCATTCTTGTTGCGAATGGTCAGAAAAGCATACTCTGACAAAGGCTTCAGCGCTTGCACTGTCACCGACGCAGAGTTCTTCCGCTTCTCGCGGGGGAAGGTCTACAAAGCGTACAGCAAGAACCTCCGCAAAGTCTACGAAGATACATCAGCTCACGCTGCAGAGGGTGAAAGGCGTCGCACCTCCATTGTGTTCCCGATCCATCTCATCAGGTTCGACGCCTTACTTTGAAACTACAGCCTAACCTACCAAAAAAACACAGCACCGCCGGTCCCGCCTGTGCGAGAACCTTTTCGCTCGGACCAAAAGCCTTCGCGGATGCGATCTGTTCGACCTGACAAGAGAGGCTCAGGGGGTTTCCAGGTGAATGCCCTTACGATTGTTGAATGACAAATCATCACTGCACCAATAATATTGCGTCCCGATCACAGTACTCACACAGGGCTTCACACTGGTCTTCCTCCCTTCCTGAAAAATCTTACTGACCACACTGTCTTTCTCGATTATCGAGATGGGTATGGTCAAAGGCTGCTTGAGCGTAGACCACCAAACTCGTGGATCCTGGGGTTTCGTCAGGATATCTCCTAATTGCAGCCCGCTAGGGATCCAAGCTATCGGAAGCTTCTCAGTCCAGCGTTCTTCGCGGAGCGCTTGGCGTAGGGCAGCAAGGTCTATCGCGAGCCGGCGGTCGGCCGGAGTTCGAGGCACTCCTTCTCGGTGAAGATGATCATAGAGCGACCGGCAGTCGCTCAAACAGACCACCGGAAGTCTCGCTTCCTCGACTCGCACCAGCTGGCCTTGCACGAGGGTCTCGTACATCGCTCTCACATATTGCCCTCCTTCTAGTCCTTCGACGCATGCTTGAGTCTCTGCGCTGAAGGTGCTGCGGCACACCCGTTGTCCAGCACGCGACTTCCAGTCGAGCACGGAGCCCCATCCACTGCCTCCAGAGATGGCGTTCACGTCGGCGATCATCACGAGTTCGCCCAGTTGCGAAGCCACCCTCGAGTTGCCTCGCTTCGCTTTCCTCCCGCTTCGGTGGGAGGGTGGACCTTCGTGTTGAAGGCCACTCGCTTTGTCTTCCTCGTAGAGCTCGAACTCGGGCTCGTCGTACTCCCCTTCGTAGGCATTCGCCCACGCCGCGTCGTGGTAGATCAGGAACACCGCCTGCTCGTCGATCACCTTGTGAAAGACGAGTCCCTCCTCGCAGTGCTCAATGGCCTTCTTGGAGATCCCGTTGGTGAACTTCACGTCACCGTAAGTAGGACACTTTTGCAGCTGCTGCGCCATTGACACGGAACAAGTAAGATCCGGCCTCGACTGTGCAGACACCCAACTGAGCGCTCCGATCAGACTCCTGTTGTCTGCCAGGCACTCGCTGTTAGCGAGGTCGTCGTCGTTGACGTTCTTGGGGATGTCGACAAAGAAGAGCCGGTTCTCGATGTAGGGCTTCTGCCTGAACACCACGGTGTCTTCTCGGCAGATGATCTCCGACCCGAGGTAGGCGAACTCGTCTTCCTCCCATGAATCGACCGGGAAGACTTTCGATAGCTCGGCCTTTACTGCATCACCGACCGACTTCGGGGCGATGACCAACAGGTCGTCGACATGCGTCCCGACGTAGGCGACCGGTGGTCCGGTCATCTTCCCCTCGATAACTTTCCTCAAGATGAAGATACATGGGTCCAAGGCACACTGGTCGAAGATGTGCTCGTCTCCATTGAGGTCGAGGGTGATTCCCTTGATTCCGGCTTGGAGATCGCCCCACCACTCGTGCGGGCTAGTGGCCAAACCGAAGATGTTCTTCTTGATCTTGACAAGTTGCCGCGGGTGGAGACCAGCAAAACCGGTGGACGGTTGGTGAAGGAAGAGCTCTTCTTTTCGCTGAAGATATCCGCCGGTCAAGAAGGCACACCGGATGTCTCCGGCACTGGCCTTCCAACGATCAACATCTCCAAGTCCGTTTGCAAGTCGTTGAAGCAAACACATCAGACCTGGGCGAGATAAGGTGGGTGCGTCGGTGGATAGCCCGTTGACCAGATCTGGGTCAGTGTGCCCAGCTATCACCAACCTCGCCTTGCATTTCCACGGGGTGGCTCCATCAGCTCTGCGCTTGGACCAGTTCTTGTCCTTGTACGCCCATCTAGAGCGAAGGATCCGGGAGCTGTCGATCTCATTCCTGATACGGTCGCTCTCCTCGACGCTGAGTGGTTCCAAGGCGTCGAAGTCGAGGTGTTCGCGCCACTGGGTTTCCTCGGCTTCTTTGAACTGGTGACGGGCCTCAGCGGGGATCTCCGCCCATCTGAGCTCCTTCTCTTGGCGCTTCTCAACGCCGCGCTGGGTGAGCTCTTTCTTGGAGAAGTAGGCCTCGTTGGCTGCGTTCTGGTCAACGTCGATGTCTTCAGGTCTCGTCTTCCTCTTCAATCTCCGCGGTGGCGGGGCTGCGATGGGGATTGCCTCTCCTGCTTCCGCCTCGCTAGGCGAGTAGTCTGAGAGATGGTCGTTCACGTCCATGAGGTCGTCGCTACCGAGCTCCATCTCCTCCTCGCCACGCAACTTTTCGCCCTCGTAGGTCTCCTCTGCGTCAAAGTCCATCTCGAGTAGCTTCTCAACTTCGGCCTGGGCACCTTTGACGCGTAGATATTCCCCGACTTCCTCGGGTCCGGAGGGACGTAGATGTTCAGCAGCAGTGAGACGGCAGCGACCATTCCTTGAAATCCAGTAGTTCTGGCCTTCTCTCCCGACAACTACAGCTGGCCCCGCCCAACGACCTCGTCTACGGTTCTTGGGTTGATCCCAAAAGTGAACGCTTTCTCCAACTTCCATAGGCCGGGTCGTTGTCCTAGCCCTCTGGAGCAATGCCTTCCTCAAGCGGCTGTCACCTTGAGAATGATGGAAGGCGAGCCTTGCTGCTGTGCGAATCGCCATGGCTCGTTGGTATCGACTCTCGGGGGTAACATCCCAAGTGACCTTCTCGCCGCTGTCAGGGTCGATGAGGTCTTCTGGTAGTCGCGGGTGCCGACCGAAGACCCACTCGGTGGGGCTGTGGCCACACCTTCGCCGTAGTTCGTTCTTTGCGCTTGACACCAAACTCGCTGCAAGCGACACCTCGTCGGCGGTGATGGAAAGATCATGCCGTACTCGATCCCAAATATTCTTCCACCAAGCTCCTTGTCTCTCAGTGATGCCGGCTTGCCAATGGGCTTGCGCTGCTACATTCTTCACCGTGATGTTGTGCCAATCGCACAGTCGGCAAATCCCCTTCTGAACGCCGCCGTCGAGGTCCAGGGACACCGTCTTAGGTGGCCCAAACGGTACTATCCAGTGGTCATTGAAGGCCTTCTCGATGTCCTCGCTGTCGAAACCTGACAGTGGCACAGCAATGTGGTACGACGTGCCCCAGTCGACAATCGAGAGAAAGGTGTGGCGAACGTCATCGACATCGTGGTGGTGAAGCAAGTCGGCGCCGACGCAGTCGTTGAAGTCGTACATCCTGGGAGTTGCGCTCGGCCTTGCAATGCGGGGCCCGGTAGAACTCGCGCAAACTTCACACTTCATCCCCTTTGCAGCCTTCAAGACAGCTTCTTCACAGCCGGCGAGTCGTAGATGTCGTACTAGGTCCTCTCGGCGCGGGTGACCAAGGTTTTGGTGTAGCCGCCGAAGGGAGCTCTGGATGAGGGGGCTCACACCAGCCTCGAACGTGATGGCGCTGCCATCATGTCTCATCTCCTTCTTCGTGTCGGGGCTTTCTTCCTTTCCTTCGGCGACGAAGACTTGATGAGGTCGGCGATGATCTCCAAGTTGTTGTTTCCCATGGGTGGGCTTGCCAAAGCCAACCCATCTCTCTCCTTCCACATCGCTGTAGCTCCAAAGTAGGTAGCTCGCGAACTCCTTGAGGACGAAGCTGGGGTCACCGCCACGAAACACAACACTTCCTCCTCCAATCACCTGTTCTCGGGTGAGCTCGATGATCTCCTTCTGGTAGTCGTCGGTCATCCCGCCTAGGTTGATGCGGAGCTCTTTGGGGTTCACGGCCCTCACGAAGTGCACGGCGTCCTCGCGCCGATCTGCGTTGCCGTAGTCTTCCCAGCTCATCGGCTCGATGACGGCCTTGCCCAACTGCACCGCCTCATACGTAGCATCGATCCCACCGATCTCAAACATCACAATGGGGTCGTACTGCACACTGGGTAGCTGCTCCTTCATGAAGGACCCGGCTGCACATAGTAGCGTGGTCATCATCACGCTCAGCCTCGCAGCCGTGTTGGCGAGGTAGTTCCTGACGCTCTTCTTCGGGCGCCTCGACACAGGGGGTTCGGCAACTTCGCGGCGTCTGGGCAGCTGATATCCGAACCTCCTCAGGACCTTGCAGCAGTCTTTC